TTCCCCATCAAAGATCCTGGGCACTGGTGGTACCAGACAGCTTGTGCCCTGTCCAAGGTAGATAAGAAATGTCCCTTGTCTCTGTCAAGGTCAAAATCATCCACACCCAGGTGGGGTGATCCCATCTCTGGGAGGTGTCTTGCAGAAGTGCTGCCAGGGGTGTGAGGTGGCTTGGCTCCACAAGCTGCGTGTGCAGCGTGGGGTGGCCAGGGGGTTGCAGGGCATCCCACACCACAACCCATGAGGCCGCCTCTATGGGCTGATGGGGGATCAGTGCAGGGCGGTAAGGGCCAGGGCCAGGTCTGAAGGGAAAATGGGCTCACGTTCACGTGAGTGAGAAAGGCAGTGTATGTGTCCAGGTGTGTCAGGTTGTGCAGAGCATTTCTTGAAAAGGCACACAAGGGATGAATCAAAGAGGTTGCCTCGGGCAAGATCACTGGGATCTGGCAATGGGGTGGGAGGGAAACCAGTTTTTTGTTGTGAAGTCCTTGGATGCTTTGAATTTTTGTTTAAATCATGTGCATACTTGATTGTTGTTTATCCCCTCAACCCCACCTCCACCCCAAGTACAGAAGAAAAGAAAGACACTTTGTTTCTTAAACTAGTTTGCCAGCGAGGTGGACATCCTATGTTGCTCGTTTTCCTGGAGATTTAGATTAAAATTAATTAGGGCTTTGGAGTCAGACTGTCCGGGTTCAAGTCCTGGCTGCCCCGTTTTGTAGCTTCTCGGACAAGTTGCTTAACTTCTGAGAGCTTTTATTTTCTCTCCTGTAAAATGGCACAGTATTATTGATATTATTATTATTTTATTATTATTTTGGGGACAGGATCTCCATCTCTCACCCCAGTTGGAGTGCAGTGGCATGGTGCAATCAAAGCTTGCTGCAGCCTTGACATCCTGGGCTCAAGTGATCCTCCCACCTCAGCCTCCTGAATAGCTGAGACTACAGGCATGAACCATCATGCCCAGCTAATTTTTTTTTTGAGACAGAGTCTTGCTTTGTCGCCAGGTTGTAGTGCAGTGGTGCGATCTTGGCTCACTGCAACATCCACCTGCTGGGTTCAAGCAATTTTCCTGCCTCAGCCTCTCAAGTAGCTAGGACTACAGGCACAAGCCACCACACCTGGCTAACTTTTGTATTTTTAGTAGAGACGGAGTTTCACCATGTTGGCCAGGATGGTCTCGATCTCGACATTGTAATCTGCCCACCTCGGCCTCCCAAAGTGCTGGAATTATAGGCGTGAGCCACCATGCCTGGCCAATTTTTTGTAGAGACAGGAGTCTTGCTTTGTTGGCCAGACTGGTCTCCAACTCCTGGGCTCAAGCAGTTTTCCTACCTGGGTCCCCTAAAATGCCTGGATTACTGGCATGAGCCACCACAGGCTTGATATTAATATGTTGATATTAATGTGATACAAACAGTTCCTGTCTTATAGGCTTGTTAAGTGGCTTCAATGAGACAGTGCAGGGAGATGCCTGAGAAAGTGCCAGGCACCCCCACCACATGAGGACAAGACTCAGCGTCTACAGGACACTCCCACTGCTATGGGAGGCGGATTGGATAGAGATCTTCATTCCTATTTACAGAAGGGTAGGTTGAGGTTCAAAGTAGCAAAGTCCTGGGGTAAGAGGCCTGGTTGGGGCCACTGGTGCCCTGGATCTATTAGTGACCTGCTGTGGGAACTTGGGATGGTACCTTCCCCTCATCAATAAATTGATGGGGTTGGAAAGGCTCTCCTGGGAATCGTGAAATGTGGGGTCTCCAAATGCTGGTGAAAATTGAGGTGGCAGCACGTCAGAGCCTGTTCTAGGTCCCAGGGCCAGGCATCCGCCCTCAGGCTTACAGGTTTCCATCTGTGTCCTCGGCCAGCACACCTGTTTTACCAATTACACAACTTCCCTGGGGTCTTGTTCAGTGGAATCCACATTCTGACCCAGAAGGTGCTCCCTGGAGAGGCTAGTGGTATTGGTCTGAGGACCACACTTTGAGTAGCCAAGGTCTGAATTTGATGTGGGTCATGTTATACACCTGTGTAAAAAGCTATCAAGGCCAGACGCAGTGGCTAATGCCTGTAATCTCAGCACTTTGGGAGGCCGAGGTGGTTGGATCACCTGAGGTCAGGAGTTCGAGACCAGCCTGGCCAACACGGTGAAACCCCCTTTCTACTAAAAAATTTTTAGGAGGAGGATCCAAGTTGGCTGATTAGGAACAGCTCAGGATTGCAGCTCCAAGCGAAAGCGTGGAGTGTGAGTGGACGCCGCATTTCCAGATGGATTTTTGTTGCCCACAGACCAGGAGATTCCCAGGCAGAGGATCCCCATGGGTCACCAGCGTGACTGTTCTGGCTGGCGTGGCAGGTCTCTGAACAAAATACATGGGTCCAGGCGCCATTTAGCTGGCAATTGGAGCTCCTGGGAGACAGAGTCACCCATTCAACTAATAAAAAGGGGACTGAAACAGGGAGCCAGGCCAGGAGATTTCCAGGCAAAACGCCACGAATCTCCACGTGGCTGTTTCAGCCGGTGCAGAGGTTCACTGCAAGGGAAATCACACAGGTCCCGGCGCCTTTTCAATTGGTGACTGGAATGCCAGAGAGACAGGGTCACTCATTCAGCTGATAAAAAGGGGACTGAAATAGGAAGCCAGGCCAGGAGATTCCTGGAAAAAAAGCACCAGTAATTGCCCCCTAACATGCTGGGATTACAGGTATAAGCCACCGTGCCTGGCCTATTTTATTTTATTTTACTTTATTTTATTTATAGAGTCAGAGTCTCACTATGTTGCCCAGGCTGATCTCGAACTCCTGGGCTCAAGCAGTCCTCCCTTCTTGGTCTCCCAAGATGCTAGGATTACAGGTGTGAGCCACCACACCAGGCCCATTGTCATTCTTGTAATGAGTTTTTCCTGAGCCCCTCCTACATGTCTGGCTGGACATGAAACCCCTCTCAAGGAAATAGGGTGAATCCGATGCTGATAATGACCTTCATTTTAGTAATGAGGACACTGAGGTCCAGAGAGGTTAAGACTTATGGAGTTGCACAAGCTGGCCCAGGTTCCCTGACACTTTAGTGCCCTGTGACTGCTGGGAGCTTTCTGGTGGATGGGCAGGGGACAGCTGGTGATGTGGCATGTTGGGATGGGGGAAGAGCAGGCAGAAGGGTGTTCCAGGCTGAGGGTACACTTGCATGAAGTCCAGGAGTGTGGACTTTGATGCTGGGTAAGGCTGGGGCAGTGAGGATCCCGGAAAGGCCCACTGGCTGCAGTCAGAGTGGGCTGAGCACAGTGTTCTCTGTGTTTCTGAGGCTGACCTCTGTGAACTCTGAGAGAGAAGGGATGCTTGTGTGTGCTCATGTGCATGTGCACCCAACAGTGAGGCCTGGCAGTCTTGTGAGACGTAGCCCATGTACAAGCCGCTCCGTTGTGTGTGCAGGACTGCTTGGAGGCCACAGGCCTGGGATCTTGAGTGTGTGTGTTTCTACTGGTGGAAAATGGGTGTATCTCTTGGCAGGAGCTGGGAATGTAAGTGGGCCTGAGGTCCAGGGAGAGCAAGCCTATGGCTGCAAGTGGGCAGACCACATGAGGGGTCTGGGAGCCTTTGTGTCCATGTGCGTGTGTGTGTGTTCCTGTACCTCACAGTGTATGCACCAGTGGATGAGTGTATGCATGCCTGTGTATGCAGTCATGCACACACATATGCATGTCTGTATATCTATGCTTATGTGTATGTGAGTGCATGTGCCTCTGTGTGTCCGCTTGTGTCTGTGTACAAGCCAGAGTGTGTACGCATGTGAGTTTTGCTTTCACATTCAATGCTAGTCAGAGGCTCCAGTTCCTGTAAACCTCATGGTCTCATTTTCCAGCAGACATCACACAGCAGTGGCATTGGGCACAACAGCCTAGGCTAGGTCTGGCCTATGGCTTCCCCTTTTCAAGCCTCTGGCTGCAGGGTGTAGAGGGGATGTAGGAGAAGACAGGGCACCTGACCCCCAGCTGGCTGCAAGCACCACCATTCCTGGCATCTATGGCATGAAGCCACCCATGGGAGTCTGATGAAAGTCACATTACTGGGACTGGGTAGGGCAGAGCTGTCCTGGGAAATACAGATACACCTTTATTGTATTAAAAGTGAAAATCAGATCATGCCTTTTCTCTGTCTCTCTTAAAACCCTCTAAAGAGTCTCTGTTGCATTTAAAACAAAACACCAGTCTCTGCCTGGTATCTCAGGTATCACTGGGGCCCCGCTGGCCAGAAAGACTTGGGAAGGAACCACCCGTGGCATATCCACTGTGTGACTCTGGGCTTTGGGTCCCTTACCGTAAAAACAGAGTAGGAAGTCCTCTGGCCAGTGGGTAGATGCTGGGAGGCTCTGGAGACTTGGCCGTGAAGGAGACAGTCCTCCCAGTGGGCCAGAACCTTTTCACTTTCCGTATAGTCATATGAGATAGCAAAGAGTGGTTGCTTCCCCATGCTTTTTAAAAATTTTGACTTTATATTATACTTTTTGAGACAGGATCTTGCTCTGTTGCACAGGTGGAGTGCAGTGGCACGATCACTACTTACTGCAGCTTCTACTGCTCAGGCTCAAATGATCTCCCACCTCAGCCTCCTAGCTACTGCAGCTTCTACCGCTCAGGCTCCAATGATCTCCCACCCCAGCCTCCAGAGTAGCTGGGAACACAGGTGTGCACAATCACACCTGGCTAGTTTTTAAATTTTGTCTAGAAACAGGGTTTCCCTATCTTGCCCATGCTTGTCTCGAACTCCTGAGCTCAAGTAATTCTTCCATCTCAGCTTCCCAAAGTGCTGGGATTACAGGCATGGGCCCCCATGCCCAGCCCCCATGCCGTTTCTGTGCCACTAGGAAATAACACTGGCTAGTCATGGTTGCCATTTCTGTTGTTTTAACGTGAAATGAATGAGTGCTGCTTCTTTAACCCTGAATCTCCTCCCACATGGTTGGTACTAAAATTTTCACTTTTATTTGGCAGATGAAGAAACTGAGTCCTGTTAAAGAATGTGCTTAGGATCACATGCTAGGAGGTGGTCAGCTGGAATGCAAGTCCAGGCAGGTGCTAGCTTGAGAGCCACTGCTCTATCAAGCCCTTCTCAGGCTTCTACTCAGGCCAAGAGAGGAGGAAGGACCCTCGGACAGGAGCAGCGTGAGCAAAGGTGTGGAGCTGGGACCGAGGACAGAATGTCAGGAGAGAGAGGGAAGAGCTCTGTGGCCGGGGGAGAGAAGCGTGAGGTCAAAATGGAGAGGCAAGAGGAGGGAGGAATGTGGACATCCTTGAATGCTGGCATGAACACTCTGGGCCTTCTGGGGGGTGGGCAGCACAGGGGAGGGGGTGTCTAGCCAGCTCCTGGCTGAGTGCTGTGGCTCAAACTATCTTTGTATCAGGCAAGGGCACCTGCATGGATCCAGTTGCTCAAGCCCCAAATCATGGCTCCATCCTTGACTTCTGTCTTTGTCTCCCCTCATCGGGCCATAGGGAGTAGACTGAAACCACAGCTGCGGCCTCCTGGCTAATATCTCCGCTCCTCTGCCCCCACAGCCCAGTCTCTACCCGACAGCCAGGGGCGTCTACTGAAAATGAAAATAATATCATGTCTCTCATTCTCTCTGTCTCTCTCCCTCTCAGTGGAATATCTGTCTGTTGCCAAGGCTGAAGTGCAGTGGCGCAATTTTGGCTAACTGCAACCTCCACTTCCGGGGTTTAAGCAGTTCTCCTGCCCCAGCCTCCCAAGTAGATGGGATTACAGGTCACCCACCACCACGCCTGGCTAATTTTTGTATTTTTAGTAGAGACGGGGTTTCACCATGTTGGCCAGGCTAGTCTTGGACTCCTGACCTCAAGTGATCCTCCCACTTTGGCCTCCTAAAGTGCTCGGATTACAGATGTGAGCCATGGCACACAGCCTGTCTCTCTCTTTCTCTCTCTCTCTGCACCAGAGAATGCCTGTTCCTGATGCATTTAGAACAAAATCCAAATTCCTTTAAGTGGCCTGTGAGTCTCTACCCAATCTTGCCTCATCTACCTCTTGGCCACATCACTGACTCTTCCCCAACCACTGCGTACCCACACTGGCCTTTCTGTTCCTCATATACACCAGGTCACTGCTGCCACAAGGCCTTCACATTTGCCATTCCCTCTGGTAGGAGTGCCCTTCCGCAGGCCACCAGCCCCTTCTTGTCATTCAGGTCTCAGCAGAGGGAGCCTGCCCAGATAAGCCCCTCTCCCCCTCCCTCCTAGTTTATTTCTTTCATCTGCATGTGCTCAGCACCCAAAACTGTCTCTTGCTCTCTCCCCACCTTCACCAGATTATAAACTCCATAAAAGCAGGGTCTTTGTTGGTTTTGTTCACTGCTACACCCCAGGCATTCAGTGAGCTCTCGTTGAGTGCAGAAATTAGACTGTCTTCTCCTCTGTAAAATAGGGTCACATCACACCTCCCAGCAGGGCGGTGGTGTGGCTCAGGATAATGCTTGTACACAGTTGGACTTCTTCCTTACTGGCCAGAGTTACCTAGCCACCCCTCCTGGAGCCTAGCCTCCTCCAGCTCTCCCAAGCCCTCTGCCCTGGCAGCGGACACCTTAGCAGAGGGGCTGTCCTCCAGACCCTTTGCAGCCAGACCTTGCTGCCCACAGATCCCTGAGGACATCTTGGGGGGTTGTTGCCCAGAACCCAGCCCCAGGCTCATGCAAATTCTGTCTCTCAGCCCAGCAGCTGTGGCCTCCTTCATTTGGCCTTTTAAAAGAAATTCTTGGGCTAACTCACACTTCCTTTGTCCCCAGCTGGGTTCACTCAAGTGTCATTGTTTTGCAAGGCTGAGGTTCCAGTCCCTCAGAAGCAGTCTCCAGTGCAGAGGTGCTGTATGCTTCAGTGAACCTCGAATGGGGGCTACACCCCCTAGAAAACCTCATCCCAGGACAGTTGGGAAACTCCCCCTCACTGGTGGTCAGGGCATTCTGGGTTAGAGAAACTGCTTTGGAGCTTCGGCAGGTGTTCATTTTGTCCATCCCTTGCCTCCCCACCTAATCCCTTCGAAAGTCACTCAGAAAAGTGCCCCTTCTGCCCTAGGGGATGCATTTCAACATCTCATGTCCCCTGCTTTCTTTCCTTCCTTCCCCATGAAATCAGGCGTTCAGATTCAGCGCACTTCTCTGAATGTTTGTTTGTTTCTGTGCAAACACGTGGGGTGACGCATGGTCTCGATTTTCTAGAACAGTTCCACTTTAACAGAATTGCGGTTATTTTGAGAAAAAGGGTACAACAATGTACTGTTGTGAGTTTCTTGTTTATGTCCCTGGAAGAGTTTTTGTGTAAATAATGTCACAGTGCTCAGAGGGAAAGAAATCCCTCAGGAATTCCCTGGAGATAAATGGATGGGTGATATTTAACCCATTTTCTCCCATCCCCAGTAGAAAGAACTGGAGTTTTGGAGTTAGACTGATTTCTGGATCCTTTTGTTGTGGGGGCAGTAGAGACAGGGTCTTGTTTTGTCATCCAAGCTGCAGTGCAATGGCTCGATCATGGCTCACTGCAGCCTCACCTTCCCAGGCTCAAGTGCTCCACCTCAGCCTCCCGAGTAGCTGGGACTACAGGCACATACTGCCATGCCTGGCTAATTTTTTAATTTTTTGTAGAAATGGGTGTCTCCCTGTGTTACTCAGGCTGGTTTTGAACTCCTGGGCTCAAGCAATCCTCCTGTCTTGGCCTCCCAAACTGTTGGATTATAGGTGTGAGCCACTGCACCAGACCTGGAACCATTTTTAATAAATGGAAGTGAAATTCACATAACAAAATTAACTAATTTAAAATGAACAATTCAGTGATGTTTAGTAAATTTACAGTGTTGTGTAACTGCCACCTCTCTTTAGTTGTAAAACATTTTTATCATCCCCCAAGGAAAGGAAACTTTGTGTCCGTTAAGCAGTCACTCTCCACTTCCTCTTCTCCATGATAGTTAACTTACTATCTTCCGTGATAGTTAACTTCCTTAACTAACTTCCTTGATAGTTATCTTCCTTTTCTCTGTGATAGTTAACTTACTTCTAGTTACCTATCTTCTCTGTCATAGGTTCCACCGGGCTGTCTTGGCTGAGGTTCCTGAAGAGGAAAAAAGTGTTTTCCAGCTGGGCTACCACCTGTGACAAGTTGTCATTCGCATGGAGCGGGGATTCTGTTCTGGGTATGTACGGGCCATTCTGTAACTTGTTTTTCTTTTTTTTTTTTTTGAGACGGAGTTTCGCTCTCGTTACCCAGGCTGGAGTGCAATGGCGCGATCTCAGCTCACCGCAACCTCCGCCTCCTGGGTTCAAGCAATTCTCCTGCCTCAGCCTCCTGAGTAGCTGGGATTACAGGCAAGCACCACCATGCCCAGCTAATTTTTTGTATTTTTAGTAGAGACGGGGTTTCACCATGTTCACCAGGGTGGTCTCGATCTCTCGACCTCGTGATCCACCCGCCTCAGCCTCCCAAAGTGCTGGGATTACAGGCTTGAGCCACCGCACCCGGCTGTTTTTCTTTTTTTTTTAGACAGGGTCTTGCTCTGTTGACCAGACTGGAGTGCAGTGACGCAGTCTCAGCTCATTGCAACCTCCGCCTCCCGGATTAAGCGATTTTCCCACCTTGGCCTCCCAGCTGGGACTATATGCACCCATGACCACACCTGGCTAATTTTTGTATTTTTTGATAGAGACAGGGTTTTGCCATGTTGATCAGGCTGATCTTGAACTCCTGACCTCAGTGATCCACCTACCTCAGCCTCCCAAAGTGCTGGGTTTACAGATGTGAGCCACCACGATTGGCCCCATTCTCTACATTTTAGCACAGCTGAGAGTGTCTAACCACCACCAAAATCAGTACACAATATAATTTCATGCCCCCAAAAAACTCCCTCTTCCTATCCTTTTATGGTTGGCCCTTTCCCTGCTCCTGGCCCCTGGCAACCACTGGTCTGTTTTCTGTCCCTAGAGTTTCAGCTCTGACCAAGTGTCAGATGAATGATTCCTGTAGATGTGAACTTTTTTTTTTTTTTTTTTTTTAGACGGAGTTTCACTCTTGTTACCCAGGCTGTGGTGCAATGGCACGATCTCGGCCCACCGCAACCTCCACCTCCTGGGTTCAGGCAATTCTCCTGTCTCAGCCTCCTGAGTAGCTGGGACTACAGGCACGTGCCACCATGCCCAGCTGATTTTTTGTATTTTTAGTAGAGACGGGGTTTCACCATGTTGACCAGGATGGTCTCGATCTCTCAACCTCGTGATCCACCTGCCTCGGCCTCCCAAAGTGCTGGGATTACAGGCTTGAGCCACCGCGCCCAGCCGATATGAACTTTTGTGTCTGGCCAACACAAAGTATTTGAGATTCATTCAAGTTGCTGGTTGCATCAGTAGTCCATGCTTTTTCATTGCTGAGTAGTAGTTTATGGTGTGGATGTACCATAGCTTATTAAATTCCTCTGTTAAATTGGATTGTCTCCAATTTGGGGTAATGATGAATAGACTGCTCTAAACATTTATGTATAGGTTTTTGTGTGAACGTAAGTCTTCTTTTTTTGACACAGGGGCTTGCTATGTTGCCCAGGCTGGAGCACAGTAGTGTGATCATAGCCCACTGCAGCCTTGACCTCAGGGGTTAAGTGATCCTCCCACCTAGACCTCCCAAAGTGTTAGTACTACAGGTGTGAGATGCCATACCCAGCCTTGAATCTAAGTTTTTATTTCCCTAGGTTAGATACCCAAGAGTGGGAACGCTGAGTTATATGAGAGCAGATGTGATTCTGCACTGTTTGACCTGGGTAAGTTAAACCTCTGTGGATCTCAGTCTCCCATTTCTGTAAAACGTATATAAAAAAAGGGCCAACTTCATTGGGTTATTGTGAGAATAAAATGAGATGCTTAAGGCACAGAGTATGTGCTCAATAAATACTGCCTTTTGCTTTTGGGTTGGATTTTGTTTCATCTGTTATCTGTGGCCATCTTTTCACCTGCAACAGGGGAGCTGTCAGCCAGTGCTGCTGCAGGAGGGGGTGTGTGAGGATTTCCTTGAACTCCCTTTCTGGGGCCAGAGATTGGACTCTTGGGGAATTCGTTATCAAGTCTGGTAGTAGGCAGAGGTCCTCTCAGCAGAAAAAAGCATGAGTTAGGATGCTCCAGTCCCTTTATTCCACAGAAGGAGAAAGTGAGGCTCAGAAAGGGACAGGGTCTTGCCCAAGGCCACTGAGCCAGAGAGTGGCAGAGAAACAGTTGGTCCCAGAGCTCCTGACTTGCCAGCCCCATGTACCTCCACCTTGATTCCAGTGGCTAGTGTTTGTGGAATGACTGAATGAATGAGTGAAAACACATTCCTAACACATTAGGAACACAAGCTCTAGAGCCAGCCTGCCAGAGTTTCACATCAGGTTCTTCCTTGCACAAGCTGTGTGATTTTGAGCACATTCTTTGACCTCTCTGAATCTCAGTTTCTTCATCTGTAAAATGGGTACAATCATTATGTCTATTGTACAGGGTGATCAGGAGGCTTAAATGAGGTAATGTATGTAAAGACTTACAACAGTGCCAGGCACACAGTAAGTGCTGAATTAAAGCTAACTTTGGCCAGGTACAGTAACTCAAACCTGTAATCTCAGTGCTTTGGGAGAACAAGGAGGGAGGATTACTTGAGCCCCAGAGTTTGAGACCAGCCTGGGCAGCATAGTGATGACCCCATGTTTACAAATAATTTAAAAATTAGCCAGGTGTGGTGGTATGCACCTGTAGTCCCTGCTACTCATGAGGCTGAGGCAGGAGGATTACCTGAGTCCAGGAGGTTGAGGCTATAGTGAGCTATGATCATGCTACTATACTCCAGCTTGGGCAACAGAGTGAGACTGTCCTAAAACAAGGTAACTTTTTAAAGGAAATTCATGACAAGGACATTGTGGGGGGCTGCAAACAGGTATATTTGCAGGGAGTTCATGGTCCTGCCAGTGATGGAGCAGGTCTCCTTGGTTTATTAAAAAGTTGAGGAAAATGTGGACAATTCATGTCCAGGGACCTGTGGCCAACAGAAAATAGGCTCCTACTCAGAGCCACACTAATACAGAAGCCATAGCCACATGGTCCGACTGAGCACTTGAATGGTGGCTTAATATGAGTTCAGATGAGCTGTCAGGGTCAGTTATATAATGGATTTCAAAGACGAAGTGTGAGCAAAGGTCCTGAGGCAGGAGGGTACCTACATGTCTAGGGACCACAGAGCGGTATGTGGGAGATGAAGGCAACGATGTGATCTTGTAGCATCTGTTTCTGTGTCTGTCTCTCCATTTGACTGTTGCTTCCTTTGGGCAGGGGCTGCATCTGCCTTGTACGTCTCTATAGCCCCAAGGGCTGGCATGGTATCTGGCATATAGTAGTGCCTACTACATGTTTGTTGAATGAATAAATGCATGTTGGTGGTAACTAAATCCAGCTGAGTTAACTGAGCACAAGGAGAGAGAGGAACAAACACCTGCTGTAGTGGACACTGGTGTGTGCCGGGGTCCCCCTTCTAGACAGAGGCACTCACTCCTCAGCTGCTGGGAGAGCTGGTGGCTGATGGTTGGTGCCCAACTGAGTCTCTCTCTGGGCATGGTCCCCTAGACCCCCCACCCCATGGGACAGCACACCTCCAATGACTGGTGAATGTGGAGTACAAAAGCCGGGCCCCCTTTCCCCAGGCAGGACAGCTCTGCAGTGCTAGTCCAGCTCCAGAACTTCCCCAGAGATGACTGAGGCCTTTGTTGTGACTGCTTCACAGCTCAGCTCCTCTGCCTGTCCTCCTGACCTCGCTCCTATGCAGGTGCTGCCTCCAAGAGCACTACCTAGTAAACCACCTGCTCACTCATCCGTGGGCTTCCCTGGGAACCTGACCTGTTACTCTTCTCAAGCCATAACCTTGTCATTCATTAATTCATTCATTCAGTCGGTCAATCAGTAAATATGTACTGAACAGCTATGCCCCAGGCATTGTTTTGGGATCCAGCAGCAACCCCAAACAGACCAGGACTGTTTGTGTAGGGATACTGGCCATCGAGTTTTTAGATTCCACCAAGACTGAATCTCACCATCTCCAGCCCCACCATGACCGTGCCACCTCTGGGAGGTCTGGCTGCCTCAGCTCCCTAGATTGGCCCCTAGAAGGTGTGGACAGGTGTGGTGAGAGGAAGGGAGCAGACCAAGGAGCCCAGGTCCGTGGAGTCAGACCCAGGCTTGAACTCAGCTCAGTGCTTTTTTGCACTTTCCTAGTGACTAATGATGTTGAGCATCTTTTCATGTGCTCATTGGCCATTTGTATACAGTGTTAGTTCATTTTCATTGCTGTAAAGGAATACCTGAGGCTGGGTAATTTATAAAGAAAAGAGGGACTGGGCACGGTGGCTCACATCTATAATCTCGGCACTTTGGGAGGCTGAGGTGGGTGGATCACCTGAGGTCAGGAGTTCGAGACCAGCCTGGTCAACATGGTAAAACCTTCTCTACTAAAAATACAAAAATCAGCCAGGTGTGATAGTGTGTGCCTGTAATCCCAGCTACTGAGGAGGCTGAGGCAGTCGAGCCACTGCACTCCAGCATGGGTTACAGAATGAGAATCCCTCTCAAAAAAATAAAAAATAAAAAGAAATAAAAGAGGGCTGGATATGGTGACTGATGCCTGTAATCCCAGCACTTTGGGAAGCTGAGGTGGGAATATTACTTAAGTTTAGGAGTTGCTACCAGCCTGAGCAACATAGCAAGACCTTGTGTCTATTATAAATAAAAATAAAAAGTTAGCTACCAAAAATTAGGTGGCGTGTAGTCCCAGCTACTTAGGCAGCTGAGGTAGGAGGATCGCTTGAGCCTGGGAGACTGAAGTTGCCGAGAGCTATGATCATGCCATTGTACTCTAGCCTGGGTGACAGAGTGAGATACTGTCTCAAAAAATAAAATTAAAAAGAATAGAGGTTTATTTGGCTCATAGTTCTACAGGCTGTACAAGCATGGTACCAACTTTTGTTTGGATTCTGGTGAGTCCTCAGGAAGCTTTTACTCTTGGTGCAAGGCAGAGGGGGAGCAGGCATATCATGTGGTGAGAGAGGGTGGGAGGAGATGCCAGGCTCTTTTAAACAACTAGACCTCAAAGGAACTCATAGAATGAAAACTCATTGCTGCGAGGACAGCACCAATCCATTCATGAGAGATCCGTCCCCGTAACCCACACACCTCCCACTAGGCCCAACCTCTAATATTGGAATGATGTCACGTTTCAACATTGGAAGAGAGATTTGGAAAAAACAAAACATCCAAACCATACCATATACCTTCTTTGGAGAAATGTCTGTTTAAGTCCTTTGCTTATTTTTAAATTATTTTGTTGTGGTGGTGGTGAGTTTCAAGTATTCTTTATATATTCTAGATACTAAACCCTTATCAGATATAGGACTTAAAAATGTTTTTTCCCATTCTGTAAGTGGTCTTTTCACTTTTTGGATAATGACCTTTGATGCACAAAAGTTTTTACTTTTTATAAAGTCCAGTTTGTTTTCTTCTTTTATTGCTTGTGCTTTTGCTGTCATCTCTAAAGATCCATTGCCAAACCCAAGGTTGTGAAAATGTACCCTTCTGTTTTAAGAGTTTTACAGTTTTAGCTCTTACATTTTGGCTTTTGATCCATTCTATATGTAAGAGAGGGGTCAAACTTTCTTTTCTTTTTATTTATTTATTTATTTTTGAGATGGAGTCCTGCTCTGTCACCCAGGCTGGAGTACAGTGGCAGAATCTTGGCTCACTGCAACCTCCACCTCCCAGGTTTAATCAATTCTCTGCCTCAGCCTCCCAAATAGCTGGGATTACAGGCACCTGCCGCCATGCCTGGCTAACTTTTTGTATTTTTTGTAGAGATGGGATTTCACCGTCTTGGCCAGACCTCGTGATCCACCCACCGTGGCCTCCCAAAGTGTTGGGATTACAGGCATGAGCCACAGTGCCCAGCCTCAAACTTTCTTCTTTTTCTTATAGTTCTGGCATTATTTACTAAATTACTCTCTTCCCATGGAATGATCTTATTGGCCCTTGTTTAAAAGCCATTGGGGGCCAGGAGCAGTGGCCCACACCTGTAATCCCGCACTTTGGGAGGCCAAGGCAAGCAGATGATCCGGGGTCAGGTGTTCAAGACCAGCCTGGCCAACATGGTGAAACCCTGTATCTACTAAAAATACAAAAAATTAGCTAAGCATGGTGGTACATGCCTGTAGTTCCAGCTACTCAGGAGGCTGAACCTGGGAGACGGAGGTTGCAGTGAGTTGAGATCACACCACTGCACTCCAGCCTGGGTGACAGAGTGAGACTTAGTCCAAAAAAAAAAAAAAAGGAAGGAAGGGCCATTGGAAATAGATGTATGGGTTTATTTTTGGACACTCATTCTACCCTCTGGATCTCTATATGTCTGCTCTTATGTCAATACCACACAGGTTTGATTATTGTAGACTTAGTGTCTTTTTGAGCATCAGGTCTTTTTTCTCCTATAAAGGGAGAGCAGAAGTAGATCTCTGGCAGGGGCTTGTGATAAAATGAGCTGGATTAAGTCATAGCAGCTGGCAACGTGCTTGGCCTGTAGCAGTAGTGGAAGCAGTTACTGTTATTATTATATTTAAGATGGAGGTTGTGCTTAAAGACTCCTCCAGAGAGCTGGAAATGTATGTTAGTCAGTTTAGGCTGTTAAAATACTGTAGACTAGGTAACTTACAAACAACAGAAATGTATTGCTCATAATTTTTTTTTTTTTTTTTTTTTGAGATGGGGTCTTGCTCTATTGCCTGTGCCGGAGTGCAATGGTGCAGTCACGGCTCACTGCAGCCTCCACCTCCTGGGTTGATGTGATCTTCCTACCTCAGCCTCCCAAAGTGCTGGGGTTGCAGGTGTGACCCACTGTGCCCAGGCTGCTCATAGT